GTTTCTGTGAGGAGTGAATAGTCTACAAGTCTGCTTGCTGTGGAGAGAACAGCTGGTATAAACTAACAATAAATAACAGTACACAATATTGTGAAGTTCAACAACAGTGACACCGACAGCAACTCAAGCTGTATCATTTAAATGACCATGAATACAAAGCAAATATTTACAGAGCTACAGGGAGTTCAGATAGTCAGTGGATGTATTTCTGGTGCATCAGTTGCAAACACACCAAGGTCTTGTGAATTATAACAACATAAGTGGAAAATTTTACTGGAAATGGAACAGTGGTCACAAGCAAACGCACACATACCAAATGATAGACACTTAAACAGGGACATGTGCTTTACAAAATTTTAAACTGCAGCTTCAAAATAAATTTTGAGAGTCAACAGCTCTTAGTCTAGATGTAGGCTTTTTTTTTTTGGTACTATTTAAATTGTAGAGCACTTTGGGTGTTTTGTCCACTGGCTGTATCACCAGATCTCCCACACAGGACGATTTTGTAGTCAAGAGAGCTCCCTAAAATTGTGGTTGTGTGAATCATTGTGCTAGTGTGCACAAACATTTATCTAGTGGGTTTTTAAAAGGCACTGCACTTATTATACACATTAAAGATACGTTTATAAGTCACATGGAGTTGTAGGTTGTCTGAATATTTCAGAAGTCGGAGAAAATAACCTTGATGATGTCTTGGAGACTTTTTTTTAACAAAGTCTGTTACAAGCTGAATGAAGTTTGAAAGACGTGGCTGTTTACCAGGAAGAGAGGCTCTTTCTTTCTTAAATCTGCCTCTTAACCCCCCTCACTGTATGGACGTGTATATAATTCAGCTGTGTTGCAGCTTGTTGTTTTTACCTTGCTGAATCATATCACAGTTGTTGCTACTGCTACACCAAGAAAATCCTGTAGAGAATTAGTCTAGTTAAAAAATAAGATGAAGAAGAAATGAAGCTGCACCAGTCTCCTGTCCTTTTATTTGCAATTCTGACCCGCGGGCCGAGTAATGTAGTTTTCTTACACTGGGTCGTCCTCCGGCTCCCAGCCCTCCAGCTCTTTGAGGCAGAAGAAACACATGGCGATGTCTGGGCTGTTCTCTGACGGGGTGTGAATGAAGCCAGCTTTGGCCATCTGTAGAAACAAATGGGCAGACAGATGACATTTAAAAAAAAAAAGAAAAAGAAGAAGAAGCTGTATTTAATGCTGAAATTATTTGTCAATGAACAGTGGACAGACAGAGAATTAACAACTTTATTGTTCCATAAATATTTTATTACCAAGCACAAATGCCCACAGCTGAAACAATAAGGTTAGCTGAGCAGTAAATCCACAGAAAAATAAGTACAAAAATCTGTTAATTGTTTCAGTAATTTCCCAAGAAAAAACCCAAAACATTCCTCAAGTTCCAGCATGTGAGGAATTTCTGCTATTCCCTGTTTTGTGATTATAAACTGCGTATCAGTGGGTTTAAGGTATTTGAAGACATCCCAGTGGGTTGGGTCTCTTCTGAAAACTGTATAGACTAAATGGTATTACTTCAAAAACATAACTGAGAATTAAGACCCTAATAAAAATACTCATTAGCTGAGCTCAAATTATTTCCACTTTTATAATATTAACCAACACTTTTATAACGTCACCACTGACAAACGTTTCCAACTTAAAGCTTTCACTACGAGACAGTGCTGCTATACACTGAAGGATATTAAAACTAGAGTGATTATCTACCTACAGCTGCCCTCAATGTAAGGCCATTAACATTAGATCGTGTTTAATCTGAATGTCAGCGCTGCTCTTTCTTCAGAGCTAACGGTTGTTGCGCTAACTGCCGTGCAGAAGTCAACCGTTTCCAACCGTTTCCAACCGTTCACTCACGTTCTCCGGGGTACACGAGCAGTCTTCGTCAAACGGCCACCCCTCGAAAGTTTTCAGTCTGTTCTCATAAAAGTACATTTTGATATCCTCTTCGTTACACAGGTCCATTGTGTTTGGCGTTAAAATAAATATCACTAACTTTATCTCGGACCAGTGCTTCGCCTGTAGCCTCTGAGCTAACTTAACTGGTGTTTTCAAATTTCGGTGAACGTTCTCTTGGACTGTTACGATTGGCGGATGGAGACCACGTGGCTCGTTTACGTATTTTCTCCTTCGTGGGTCGAATGACGTAAATAGTGCACACGTACGCCAGTCAGCGGTGTAGACGGCTACAGGCGCTTAAACGCCAAACAAAAACAATATATTTTAAATAAATCTTTTTTTGGAAGAAGATTTAACATGTCCCTCTCGTCCTCAGAGAGATTCACCTCTTCCCAGAGCCCAGAAAGAATTGTAAACACCAAACTCACCCGCCGTCTGTCAGGTATTAGACTTCCGTTTATTTTTCATGGGTAATGTAGTTCTTGGAGGTTATTGGTCCACAACGCGGCGCGGGGAACTCTGAGAGCCTCCCATCCTCTGTCAACAACCGGGTCGAGATCACCTCGTCTAGTTTTACCACAAACTTTGTCCTGTATGATCCCTCGCTCCGCTCACAGTGTGCCCAGCGTTACTTATGCAGACGGGGCAGTGACTTCCTATCCTTCCTCGGTGTTGTGGCTATGGAAGGACGGTGTGCTGTTGAGACTTTGGCAGAGTTTGGCCTCTCAGGAACATCATGCACCCCGAAGGTCAGGTTTGGTGTTGGGACAGATGTGTTCCTCTGCACTGGCAGCGACGAGGTGTATGTATTCAGTACTAAAGAGAGCAAACTCAGGGCAAGTAACTCATACACTGTGTATTGGTATATATAAACATCCCAGTTACTCTGCAGAGCTCCACTCTGAGCTGACCAAGCAGTAAAGATAAGTCACATTTGCTGTTTGACTGTGTTTACGTTGCAGGCTGTCCTCCAGTTTCCTGATCCTGTGAGTGACCTATTTGAGAGTCATGACAAGCAGCTCCTCTATGTAGCCTGTAGGAGCGGAGTTTATTGTGTTAGTGTACAATTTCTGCTATCCAGGTATGAACCCTTTTTGTGTGTTGTATAAAATGTGTTGAATTGAATCCTGTCACTGCCTCTTACTACGTATGTGATCTTTCACCTCTGCAGAGCTCAAAGCTCAGCGGCCGATGCATCCTCAGGTCCACCTGAGCTGAAGATCTCCTCTGAGCTTCTTGTTGTTCCAGAAGAAGGGGTGTTGTCGCTGCTCCTCGTCGGCTCCGTTCTCCTGACTCTGTCCCAGAGAGACGCATCCTGGATGTTGACACTGTACGACTGTCCAAAACACTCAGCGTCTAGCAGTTATGAGATGCTTACTTCGTTCAGCCTGCCACTGGTGTCAGGTGTTGTACACAGTGACACTGAGGGAGAGACGGGGACGAGAAGGAGGCCTGTCCTGACATGTGTCCATTCTAGTGACACAACACCATCATCTTCCTCCTCCCTGAGTGACAGCCACTTCCGCCTCGAGCCGACCCTCTTCAAACTTCTGTTTGGGATCGACGCCGCCCTCACCAAATCACCGGTTGTCCTTTGTGGCCTGCCAGACGGATGCCTGTGTTTCCTTCCTCTGCGTGTGCCAGGATCGCGGCTCCGAGTCCTGCACAGCCTTGAGCAGCCAGTCGTATTTGTTGGAGCATCTGTTGTCATGGAAACGGGTCCGGGACATGCACAGTGTTTGGTGACAGTGGGTGAACTAGGGAGAGTGGTGGTGATCAAAATAGACAAGGGAGGGCCGGAGGAAAGGGTCAACGTGGCTGGATTTATTGAGCGGTGTGTACCAGGGCCTGTGATGTGTGGGTGTATGGATAAAAACTGCCTGTACTACAGCACTGGGTCAGACCTGCTGAGACTGGATCTATCAGAGGGATCATTTGGGATACCAGGCCAAGAAAGGGATGAAGATACATCCAGTAAGACAGACGCTGCCCTCCAAAGCCCCACCAGTTTAAATGTGTGTAGAGTCATTGCCTTGGCTGAGCCTCCAGGCAGCACTGCAGGTAAGTGTTGATCATTGAATGATTTCCTCCTGGCAGCCATTGCTTTCAGTACTCTCCACTACTGAATTTAACTTGCAGAGCATTTAAACTTGTGAGTTACACTATTACACAGTTGCAAACAGTTACTATTCACACCTTGTTTAGTGTGTTCAAGTGAGTAGGCACTTCATGCAAAAAACCCACCACATTCACATTATCCTTTTCACAGAGGCTTGTGTGGCTTTGAGAAAATAATGGTAGTGTTATGTTCACAGTGATTAATATGTTATCAATAACTTTCTACAAGGTGATAGAAAACAATGGCTGTCTGAAGCCAGAAGAAGATCTATGCTGTTTAATTTTGCAGCAGGCAGAAATCCTCCTTTCTATTAGGAGGCAGAAATCAGAAGCTGTCATTTAATCAGCAAAGTTTAATGTTGTTTCAATCTTTTCTTCCTAAATTTGGAATTTTTAGGATGTATGTGGCAGGAAGTATTTTACTGAAGAATGTTTTTTCCAGTAGTGTAACTAAGCCTGTATATTTGCTTTGGAGTGCGACTTCAGTCTCTTAACTACCTCTATCCTGTGTACTAGGTGCTATTCAGCTGCTGGGGCTGTCTGTCAGAGGGCAACTACAAAGTATTACCTTACCTGTGGGGAGAGAGGATGCAATATTGTGCAAGATACCTTCCACACAGGTGGGCAGCAGCGTCAGGGACCTCCTGTCTGCTATCGGGGATGTTTGTGAAAGGTATATGATTCCTTATTGATTGTTGAAATGGAACACAGTAGACATTTATTGTAGGTAACATTGTCTTTTGTGTTGATATAAATGGGATTGTCCTTGCTTTCTTTCAGGGCATCAACACTAAAAACTGATATCAAATCCAAAAACCAAATTCTAAGGCACCTGAATCAGGTGCTTAACATCAGCTTCCTGCTGACAGCCAGTACAAAAAGTGAAGAGAAGTCAATAAGATGTCACGCCATAACAAAGTGGAGCAGATTGCTTCAAAAAGACTCCCTGAACCTGACATGTGTCCTGGATAATTCAAGTCCTTATGTTTTGGAACAAGGCTGGACACTGAGCATCACTGTATTTCCTCTGTCCTATTCTGCCGACACAGGTGGGGAAAGCTCCTCAACAAATTTTTCATTCCCACTCCACAACATTCATCCAGGGGAAACGTTAGAAGTATCACTGCCCCTAGCAGCTGCAGGCGACACATCTTTCCCCGTGACAGTGAGCTGCTCGCTCATCTTCTCGCTCTCAAGTCTGCTGGGAGAGAGGGCAGTAAACCTTCCTGGGTCGCAGAGTAGCTGCATCTGTTTGCCTGTGAACACGTTGACAGTGGATTGGTTGCACACCCTGCAGGTGAACAGTCCCATAGCCATTCATCAAAAGGCCACATCTGGATGCAACAACACCACAGCGGATCCCATCCACGCTTTTTTAAACTCACGCCGGATTAAGTGCAGCGGAAGAGAGGAGAGAGGAGGAGAGGGCGCTTCAAAGCCTGAGCGAGAGCAGTATTCAGCAAGAGTACAGGTGTCGTCAGAGTTACTGAGGAATACGCTGGTGTTTAAAAGCTCAGATTTGGACCCACAGGGGCCAAAGTCGGCCCCTCAAAATGTGTGCCTTTCTTTACTGGAATGGCTGTTGTCTGAAGGTCCTGGGGGAGTGAGGACGGGGGACCAAGGAGACAAGATCAGCAGCTCAGTGGTCCATGCTCGCGGTCCAAACGGACATCCAGTAAAACTGACTGCAAAAGAGGTAAATGTTCTTATATATCACTGAAGGTTTACCCTGTTTATTTGATCTTGTGTTATTAGAATAAAACAGACCAGTGCTCTTTTGTCCAGGTAAATGCAGGGGAGGAGGAGTCCCTGACCACAGTGGAGCTTCAGGTTGAGAGCTCTTCTATAGCAGCGGTGTGTGGACTGCACCATGCTGTGCTGCGACGGGTACAGGTACAAATACACCCACAGAAACTTAGAAGTCAGCATTTACTGATTTTTTTTTTTTTTACAGCAATGGATGTTTTTCATGAGTTTTGATGGAGCATCTGCATTAAAAGATGATACATTTACAATATTGTGTTTCCAAAACAACCATGCAGCTTCATTTAGTTAACTTGATGCACTAGGCTTGATATGTGTGTGTGTCCCTGCTTTTAGATGCAAAGTTTTATGTGAAATTCCACCAGATTCATTGTCGGCTCTGTTCCTTCACACAGAATCTGTTGCAGAGGGCTCCTGACAGGGCTGCTTCCACAAAGAGGGTCCAGAGTCTAGGTTTAAGACAAGCACTGCAGCGGGCCGAGGTAAGACTCGCATGTACTTAATTTTGTCTGATAGGGCTGCAGCTAACAATTATTCTTATTATTACCTAATCATCTCTATTTTTTCAGTAATTAATGACATGAATGAACAATTAGCGACAGTAAAAAAAGACTTTACAGTGACATGAAGGGAAGAAAAATAAGTGAATCTTGTAGTTGGAGAAGCTATGACCAGCAGCTGTTTGGTATTTTTATTAAATGTAGTAAATTTCTTAGAAAACCCATTCAGACGGAGACATTTATAAGACCGCAGAGAATAGCTTTTTGTCATTGTCCACGACTGTGTTTAAATCTTAAGTATCTTGTGTGTGATTCCTTTTTTAAATTTCAGTCTCTTTCCTCCTCCTCTCTTGTCAGCACCTGTCACAGCAGATCCAGCAGAGTCGGGTCTCAGGGGCCTTCGGCGTGGGTGCGTCCACAGGGCAAATGACCCGGTCTCTTCTCAGTGTTTACAGAGAACTCAGAGAAAATCCTCTCCTTATAATTTAAAGCCTTTTCTTTTTTTTCTTTTTTTTTTTTTAGCTGAGCCCACGCAGATGCCCTTGGCCTTGTTCTGTGTGTTATGTAACTTCTCTTTGTAGCTGATTAAAACATAATGTCTATAATAGTGTTTGCTAATGTAAATGTACTTTAGTGTCCCTGTAAACATTACCATTCATGGTTACTTTCACGTGACTCCGTTTTCCTACTATTATTTTGATATTGTACATGTTCCACAGCTTTAATAACAATGGTCACCAACATTACTGTTTTTGTTAGTTGTGTGTTTCAAACTAAATTTCACTTTACACACCATTACATTCAGCACAAGATGACCGAAGAGAGCAGGTGGAGCAAAAATATATGCAATTACAGTCCAAATGGAAAAACTCTGTCTCCCAGCTGGGAGAAGGTCCTCCAGTTCACAGTCCCCTGATATGTCAAACAGGTGTAACAGTGACACGGGACCTTTATGTCTTTTACAGAAGTTCTTAAACACAACATTTACTGACGGCTCGTAGACTGCAGGAGTTTGATTAAGAATGACCAACACATTAAAAAGTATATCATTAATTTGTGTAAAGCTAATCCTCCTGAGAGGTTGTTCAGTTATACATCAACTGAAATGAAGAAAGCTCAGGTTTCTGGACTAGACAGACAGGAAAGATCATCTGGATATAGTTGTTACTCACTGACACTGCAGACAGCCAAACTGATTGTCAATAATTCAAGTAGTTGCAGAAACAACAAATTTCAGGTTTTTTCAGGAGTAGGTCTATGGAAAGAAATTTCA